GAGCTATATGAAGTGAATTACTTTCCATAAGGTCTTAAGCAGCTTTGAGTTATTGTATTAGTGTTAGACCTATGTTTATAGTATCATATTTATATTGAAATGATTATCAGATTATCTCATTAAGTTAGTATTATGGTTCTGATCAATATTGACACTTAAATTAGCTTCCACGTAATACTTTTTAGCTTCCACGTAATAGTGTTGAAATTTCACCATATGTGTAGGAATGGATTACGTGGAAGCTCCCGAAGCTAGCCCCGAAAAGAATTTAGCTTCCACGTAATACCTTTTAGCTTCCACGTAATACTTTGGAAACTGTAATGTCTCTACATCAATTCATGGTCCAGAAGTTAGTGAAACAAATGGCAATAGTGTATGCATACTCGTGTCTACATAGTTGAGCTATATGAAGTAAATTGCTTTCCGTCAAATGTTAAGCAAGTTTTAGTACAGCATTCTGTTTATGTTATTAGTTTTATATTGCACAAAAGATTTATAATTAAAAGGTTTTTCATTTAATTATGAGTGTTCTTGGGCCTTAAATTAGCTTCCACGTAATACTTTTTAGCTTCCACGTAATAGTCTTGAATTTTGGCCATATGTGTAGGAATGGATTACGTGGAAGCTCCCGAAGCTAGCCCCGATAAGAATTTAGCTTCCACGTAATACCTTTTAGCTTCCACGTAATACTTTGGAAACTGTAGTGTTTTTACATCAATTCATGGTCCAGAAGTTAGTGAAACAAATGGCAATAGTGTATGCATACTCGTGTCTACATAGTTGAGCTATATATAATATATATGAAGTAGATTACTTTCCATAAGGTCTTATGCAGCTTTGAGTTATTGTATTAGTGTTAGACCTATGTTTTTAGTATCATACTTATATTGAAATGGTTAGCGATTACCTCATTAAGTTATTATTATGATCAATATTGACACTTAAATTAGCTTCCACGTAATACTTTTTAGCTTCCACGTAATAGTGCTGACATTTCACCATATGTGTAGGAATTGATTACGTGGAAGCTCCCGAAGCTAGCCCGGATAAGTATATTATAGTTATAATGATAACAAATTAGCTTCCACGTAATACTTTTTAGATTCCACGTAATAGTCTTGAATTTTGGCCATATGTGTAGAAATGGATTACGTGGAAGCTCCCAAAGCTAGCCCCGATAAGAATTTAGCTTCCACGTAATACCTTTTAGCTTCCACGTAATACTTTGGAAACTGCAATGCCTCTACATCAATTCATGGTCCAGAAGTTAGTGAAACAAATGGCAATAGTATATATATGCATACTGTCTTACTGATGTGAACCTGGTTGAGCCATATGAATCATATGAAGCAAGTTGCTTTCCATCAGGTTTTAAACAGGTTGTGATATATATTAATATCCTATTATATTTCAAGTTTTCAAAATATATTCATATTGCTGCATTGTACCGTGTTATTTTTACTTAAACGTAAGTAAGTGCTATTAGCCTAGAAGCTATTGGTACTTAAATTGGCTTCCACGCAATGCTTTTTGGATTCCACATAATGGTGTTTGCAATTTGACTTTGTGTGTGTAGGCATGGATTTCGTTGAAGCTCCTGAAGCTACCACCAATAGCAAACATTCATGTAAGTATGTACAAGTGAGCGGCGGTAAGCACTTCCGAAACTTCAACATTTCAACGTAATGTTGAAAATGGTTGAAAAGTTCGAACACAAAAACACATGAAAATCACCATTTGTTTTCGCTTCCATGTAGTGGCAATGGTGTTGAAACTGAACCATATGTGCAGGAACGCAGTTGTGGAAGCTTCTCCAGCTAGCCCACGGTCAAACATATGTACGCAGCAAAAACGATTCATATGTATCATATGATTCATATTCATATGTCATGTCCGTAGTCTGTACACATGACTAAGTGTGTTTTATGACCTGATAGTTTCTGGGGGGCGGCCTACCGCTTTGATAACTGATGGCAGTGGTGCGTTGCGATTGACCTCGCCTAATTATTAGCCCTATTGTTGATCATAGATCAGATCAAAAAACAGAAAAAACGAAGAAAACATCATTCGCTGTTTCCCACTAACCCAAGGATCCGTGGACTCCTCCTCATGGATACCATCAGGGTGCTCCATGTCACAGATGAAACAAAAGCCTCCGCATTCGTCATGCTTGACGTCGGCGTAGAAGTGCTCCCCTGGGCTTGGCTGGCGGCTGCACTGAAGGAGGTAACAATGACACTTGAAGGAGTACAGGTTGCCGCCACAACTTTCAAGAATCACACCTTGAGGCTTTGCACACAAAATGGAAGAACATATTAGTGAACCAACTTAGGCCACACTTCTTCAGGTAACAAAACCTTTTTTTCCCCACCTGCCAGGTGAGGGTTGTTAGATTTTATGTCAGTTGCCTGCTCCTCCTCCTCCTCTTCTCCTCCTCTTCTCCTCCTCCTCTTCTCCTCCTGCCGGACCTCAACCACGATCATCCACGCCCACCTCCTGCCGGACCTCAACCACGATCATCCACGCCCAGTGTTCCCTGCCGGACCTCAACCACGATCATCCACGCCCAGTGTTCCCTGCCGGACCTCAACCACGATCATCCACGCCCAGTGTTCCCTGCCGGACCTCAACCACGATCATCCACGCCCAGTGTTCCCTGCCGGACCTCAACCACGATCATCCACGCTCAGTGTTCCCTGCCGGACCTCAACCACGATCATCCACGCCCAGTGTTCCCTGCCGGACCTCAACCACGACCATCCAACCTCAGTGTTCCCTGCCGGACCTCAACCACGGCCAGATAGAATGCCAGAAGAGATGCCAGATAGAATGTCAGATAGAATGCCAGAAGATATGCCAGATAAAATGCCATGAGATATGCCAGATAGAGTGCCAGAAGATATGCCAGATAGAATGTTAGAAGATATGCCAGATAGAATGCCAGAAGGTATGCCAGGTAGAATGTCAGATAGAATGCCAGAAGAGATGCCAGATAAAGTGCCAGAAGATATGCCAGATAGAATCCCAGAAGGTATGCCAGATAGAATGTCAGAAGATATGCCAGATAGAGTGCCAGAAGATATGCCAGAACATATTGCAGAAGATATGCCCAGTAGAATGCCAGAAAATATGCCAGATGGAATGCCAGAAGATATGCCAGATAAAATGCCAGAAGATATGTCAGATAGAATGCCTGAAGATTTGCCAGTAACAAATTGATAAATGTCATGGTGGGGATAACTCGAAGTAAAGTAATTTCCTTGTCTCCCGTTGCCTTTGCCGAAAGCCAAGTCACATCCGTAGTGACGTAGGTTCCAGTCGCGGCAACACTCCTCCGAGTCAGAGGAGAACATCGGCCTGTGAGCAATGCCAGTGGCCTCCGAGAGGTACCTCCTTAGATCACGAAAGAACACAAGGGGGCAGCATGCACGAGCCAGGACTAGAGATGATTTACAGCAGTTACTTACAGAATCGATCATAGATCACCATACCGTATGATTTGATCATATGACATCACGTAACTATACAACAAACAAAAAACTGGCTGCTTACTGCTTGGACACCTCGATGTGTCATACTATCAACATTGTTTCATATGCGTTAGGTAAAAAAAGCACAACGTACTGATTGATGACAATATAGAACATACATATGAACATATGATATCAATGATATGCCATGAGGCTATGATCATAATTATAATTATAGTTATTTTACACTTGTGATTGTGATGTGAATCTGAATAATGATGATATGATCTGAAAAGATTCGGTATCAAATCTCTGTTGACCAGGTATCAAATTCCCACGCTCATAGACTCACAGGCACAGATTCACATTACTGACCATCATGCACTGGCATGTCCTACGCAACAAGACTGGCGTCCAACATGAATGCCAAGTCGCCAGATGTATGCAAAGGCGCCTGATCCTTCACAAGCGCCCCAGATCTTTAACCTGAGCACTGGGGGACAAAGAAGTGCTGTCATGACATGAAATCACAGGAACAACGTCCCCTGGTTTGATGATTGAAGATGAATGTGGGTGTCCAAAGCAACACTTGATACCCCAAGCAACTAGTGTTGCTGCTACGGTAATTGCAGCAACAACTCTGAAGGGCAAACCTAGGGAATTTGTCCTCAAAACCAAGCTGGGTCGTGAGGTCCCTGGTCCCAGGACATGAACTGCATGACCCATCAGGCTTGACAAAAAGAGGATGACCAATGTCAATGCGTGTTTCCAAATGATTGTGTCCACCAACCTTGCTCCCAAGCAAAAAAATCAATACATAACATAACATTGGAGTAACTTGCCGAATTTGGAATGCTTTGCGTCTGGGGGAAAGGGTAGTTGCAAGACTTAAGCCCAGGCTTGCCCCCTGACTATCTTGCATTGCTGGCTCTGACTTTACTTACCTTGAAAAACTCACGGGTAGCCCATGGTGCAATAACCGCACTGACACACTACCCGAGGAACTTTTGTCACCGGAGCGTGTCTGGTCTGTGCCAAAGGTACGCTGAAATAACGGAAAAGAGAAGTCGTGGCGGTCACTTGGATTTCCCGAGCAATGAAAATGAAAAATTGCAATGACCTCCAAAAAGACCAGCTTCAAGAGCAAATCTCATGGGTCAGAACCAGAATCATAGTGTGCTGGTTGTGTCTCAAGCGCAGTTGAATCAGGAAATTTCCTGTAATCATGGAACTTGAGGCCATGAACTGGAGTGACTGATGAAGCTGGAAACCACTGGGAGGTTCAAGAGGATTGGCTTGCCCAGTCATCCAAGGATTGGAAAACATTCAGAAATCGCAGTGGCAGGCTACAAGTGTTCTCCCTGCCGGCATCCACCTTTCGAATGTAAATTCCCTGCCGGCATCCAGCTTTCGAATGTAAATTACAAATGCCAAGAAGTTACAACACTTTGACTTGTGACCTAGGTCCTCTGTTGGTGATTCTGAACCATTCTGGATCATGCTCAATCTAGCATTCAAAGTTGATTTCAATCACCATTTCCCATTCTCGGCTGTATGCCGCGTGGTTCGCCTTGACCACGAGGACGAGGCCTTCACCTTCACCTGTGGCTTTAGCCACGCGTCCATGGAAGCCACCTTCCTTAGATGCAAGGCTGGTCGGTCTGCAGACTCACGAAAACACCCCCTGCATTGCCATGCCTACTGGACCTGTGACGATGCCTTTCTCTCTTGGGTTGACAGTACCAGTAGTACTAGGCACCAACCACCTACTAACATCACTGATTCCACTTCTACTTTCTGATGCTCTGAATCACTTGATGTGAACTGTCTGAGCTAGTCTGGCTGTCCGACTGCTGATACTGGACACCCATCCAGCTACAACGAGACTGAGGCTTGATAGGAAAATATATAATAATACGCCATGGGTTCGCAAACACCGGATGATGACAACACACACTTGCTCAGAACTGACTTACCGAATTTTGTGGGGAGTGCGTCATACGTGCACAAACAAATCACTATCACCTGACAAGGCCCAAGAAATGTTCCTAAAGGACAGATTGCGACAACAGTGCAGAAACTGTTTGTTCGACATGCCGGTTCTTGGCTTAGCCGGTTGCCATACACAGCAAAATGGAAAATTGCAGGTACGTCGGGATGATCAGTCCCGATATCACATCTCAAACCACCGTCTTCGTTGGGCAGTGGATGGAATGACATTCACTGCCCCCCTGCATTGGATATATAGAAGTATATATATATATATATAAAGAAGAGAAACCTCAAAACCTAAACCTAACAAGCCTACCTAAAAGGTGAAACCTGGGCCTGAGATGAACATGAGTATATGAGATGAAACCTATGTATAAGTATAAATAAGATGAAAACAAAAGGTTAGAAGTTTTACATCTGTTCAGATGTTCCACACACACGCCCTGCTGCCGCGGGGCTTAAGGCCCGGACTGTGAAATGAAAATGAATAGGAAAGGAAATGAAGATGAGGTGAAAATGAAAATGAGATGAAAGTTACTTAACCAGGACGCGAAGAGGGGAACGCAAAAGAAGAGGGAAGGAGAAAACACCAACACAATGAAACCTAGCCCAAAACGGGCAAACCCTGGAAAGGCAAGGGAAAAGAAAAGCGGAGGCCGACGGACACGGAACAAGACCAACGGAGGGGGGGGAGGACGGAAGCGCCTGAACCAACCTAACACAGCGAAACCTACGCCTACCTAAGCACGCACAGAAACCAAACTACCTGGAGAGAGGAGAACGCAGAAACACATGAAATAGGGGACCCACGGAGAACTAGTTGATGAAAAGGCGCATCCACACGTGAAATGCAAATTCCCTCGTTAGGGCACAATGGCCCGATGTCACGTCAACCCTCTGGACAGCTTAAGCAGTCAACCCCTGAATTACGTGCACGACTACACGTCACCAACAACCATAAAAAGAAAGAATCACCAAACCTGCAAGCATGTCCTGTTGCCTTGATTGTCATGCGAAAAGGGCTGCGGTCAGTCTCTTGAGATAACAGAAAGATTGTTGTCGCGGCTTTCAGCGTTCTACCCTAGAAGGAGTGCAAAAATGGCGATCCCACCAACAGCGGGCAGCTGTTCAACACTCACTCGACCGACAGGGTGAAACCCCGAAAAAAGGCTGGCTTCTTCACTTTACTTAAACGAATTACCAGGTTGAAAACTGTAAATTCGGAGATCAGGTCGACAACTGACTTTCCTGCTTAGAAAAGCATTCCCCAAAGGGCTCATGTCATCCTGTCGAATCCGACATGAGTCACACACTTGCTCAGAACTGACTTACCGAATTTTGTGGGGAGTGCGTCATACGTGCACAAACAAATCACTATCACCTGACAAGGCCCAAGAAATGTTCCTAAAGGACAGATTGCGACAACAGTGCAGAAACTGTTTGTTCGACATGCCGGTTCTTGGCTTAGCCGGTTGCCATACACAGCAAAATGGAAAATTGCAGGTACGTCGGGATGATCAGTCCCGATATCACAATCTCAAACCACCGTCTTCGTTGGGCAGTGGATGGAATGACATTCACTGCCCCCCTGCATTGGATATATAGAAGTATATATATATATAAAGAAGAGAACCTCAAAACCTAAACCTAACAAGCCTACCTAAAAGGTGAAACCTGGGCCTGAGATGAACATGAGTATGTGAGATGAAACCTATGTATAAGTATAAATAAGATGAAAACAAAAGGTTAGAAGTTTTACATCTGTTCAGATGTTCCACACACACACACTACACACACACACACAGCGTAGCACCTTTGTTCAAACTGGGAAAACTGAATCGTTTACTACAGAATCCAAATACCAGGAATACATTGCATGCTGCATGACCATAGATACAGATATAGATACAAATGCACATATGTCAATGCATATTCATAGTTGTACAAATACATGACATGACATGACTTGTAACAGTCACCCATGCATTGCCACGGTCCTGACAAGCCGTTGGGTACCACATCTGTTTGCATCATCTGCTACTCGGCTAATCTAGTCTCAGTCTACCAGTCTAATCATCTACTGTCTACTGGCTGTACTTATAATGCCCTCATATCACTGCATCCATCTACCATTGTCAATCTAATTTTTTGATTATTGGCAATTATTGGTATCATTTGGAATCCAAGATTCATGGCACCAAAAATCAAGATCGTCCATCAACCCAGGATTCATGCCTTTATATCTATAGTCTATATATATTATCTAAATTGATAATAGAAATAGATGGAGACGCAATGATTAATATTAGCTTGATCTTATTCCTGACCTTTGCTAACTCCGGTTTCCTGCCGTCTGCCACCTTTTTCATAAATTATGCCGAGAATCCGCTTGATGCCCGCAGGGGGGCCTTTCTCCTCCTCCTCCGACTCAACCTCGAAGTCCTCGTCGTCATCCTCCGGCTCCGGCTCCACCACCTTGGCCTTTGAGGACTTTCCCTTTACCTTGCCCAGATCCTGCGCCTTGCCCTTGCTGGGATTCCCCTTCACCTCGTACAGATCCTGCGCCTTGCCCTTGCTGGCCTTTCCCTTCAACTCCTGCACATCATAGACCTTGCCCTTGCCAGCCTTCCCCTTCACTTCCCCATCATTCAGGCCTTTCTCATCCTTGCCACATCCTTTGTGGCCATAGCCCTTCCAGTACCAATCATCCCAATCATCCCACGTCCAATCCTCCGCTTTCCACTCCCAGCATTCGCCTGATTCCTCATCCCAACGCCAGTTCTCTCTCTGCCAACTGCCCGTGGAAGGATGACACCCATGCTGCCAACCCCAATCCCAGCCATGGCCAAAATTCTTATCCTCATACCACTCAGTTGGGTCCGGCCGTTCCTCGTCGCTTGATTCTATCGGAATATCCTCCATTTCATCAGCCAGTAACTTACCCTTCCCCACACCCTTTGATGGCGGTGGCACCTTCACAGGTCTCCTTGCAGGAATGGTCCTCGGTATATGGCCAGGAGGGTGAGGCCTTTGCGGTGGTGTCATGGGGGGCGGTATGGGAGGTGGCTTCGGCTTTACTGCGTGGATGGGTGGCTGCCCTGGTCTTGGTGAGGGCTGCTTGGGGTGCTTATTGCATGCAACCCGTCCCACAGAACCCCGTGGCCAATGTTGCTGCGGCATGTGCTGTGGCTGGTGATGTGTCATGTGAAGCGGTGTTGCCAGCAACTGCTGCTGGAGCAGTTCGGCTTGTGCTTGCTGCTGTTTTTGCGCAGCATGCTGCTGCATCATTTGTTGATGCTGCACTATTTGTTGATGCTGCTGCATTGCTTGTGCTTGCTGTGCAACCTGCTGGTTGGTGATCATCTGCTGCAGCATTTGGCCGGCCAGATGCTGGGCTGCTAACATTGTCACCTCCCACTGTGTGCTGCTCAACCCAGCCAGCGCTGCTTTCTCTGGCACCTGTTCTCGGCCTGGAGTCAGTGGAGTAGCTGGTGGCGCAGGTGGGACATTTGCAGGAGGCGGCAGAGTCATGGGCAGTGCAGGTGGCAAAGGAGCTTCTTCCGCCATTTCCTGGGCAAGCCGCCGTGGATCCAGACAAGTGTCAACTGGCTGACCAAGACTGTGAAATTACGTGGGTAAAGTCAGAAGACCACCATCTCACCAAATGCAAAAATCGAAGTCCAAGCTCGTATGATTTCACTTGACCACTGACTGTCAGGAAAGCCGAACCTCTACAACTTTTCCAATATCCACTGGATCCAGCGCATACATGGTTAGGATCATATGATACTATGATTGATTGATATGATAAAATATGAATACAGTATATTAATGTATTCTGATTATTCTTACCAGTAGTACCGCACAAGGCGGTGTCGGAAGTTTCAAAAATAGGAAACCTATAGGAGAAGTTGGTTGTTGTGAATCAAGGATGGCAGAGCGAAGCCACTGATGGATCGAAAGATGATTGATCTCTCTCTCTCTCTTTCTCTGACTATCTACCTACCTACCTACCTATCTAGCTATGTATCTATCTATCTATCGATCTATCTATCTCTCTCTCTCTCTTTCATCTAATTACCTATCTATCTATCTATCTATCTATCTATCTATCTATCTATCTATCTATCTATCTATCTGTCTATCTCTCTACCTGTCCATCTGTGGTGCAGTGTCATGCAGTGTACTGTAGTGTAGTGTAATGCAGTGTAGTGTAGTGGAGTGTAGTGGAATGCAGTGTAGCCTAGTGTGATGTAGTGTAGTGTAGTGTAATTTAGTGTAGTGGAGTGTAGTGGAGTGTTGTGTAGTGTGATGTAGCGTAGTGTAGTGTAATTTAGATAATTTAGTGTAGTGGAGTGTAGTGGAGTGTTGTGTAGTGTAATGTAGTGTAATTTAGTGTAGTGGAGTGTAGTTATGTAGTTGTGTAGTTGTAGTGGAGTGGAGTGGAGTGTAGTGGAGTGTAGTGTAGTGTAATGTAGTGTAGTGTAATGTAGTGTAATGTAGTTAAGCGAAGCGAAGCGAAGCGAAGCGACATCTGAACCTCCAAAAGTGGTCCGAAACCCTAGTGTTTTTAACATTTTGACTTCAAAATGTGCTTCGCGCCACAACCGCGTGCACTTTTTCGACATCTGAGCCTCCAAAAGTGGTCCGAGCATGGTGTGTTTTGTACATTTTGACTTGAAAATGTGCTTCGCGCCACAACGGCGTGCACTTTTTCGACATCGCAACTTCCAAAAGTGGTCCGAGGTTGGTGTGTTTTGTACATTTTGACTTGGAAATGCGACATCTCAACTTCCAAAAGAGGTCCGACATTGGTGTGTTTTGAACCCGCTGCGAATTCGGGAGGTGGGGTTGGAGCCACCCATTTAGTGGTGGCCCCGGTATTTTTCTCTACAAAATGCCTCGCCTCAATCTACAAAATGGGTTGCCTGGAAATTTCTCTACAAAGTGCCTGGCCTTGGATAAGCTTCTTCACTACAAAATGAATGCCGAAAAGGGGCATTACCGGGGGGGTTAACCTCCACCCCCCAAGGACCAGGCTCCTCCCGCACCGGGGGGGGTTAACCGCCACCCCCCAAGGACCAGGCTCCTCCCGCCAGGGGGTTGACCACCACCCCCAAGGAGAACCTCAGTGGAGCAGAATAGAGGGAGATATATATATATATATATTTTTTATATACGAATATAATATATATATGTATATATATATATGTATATATATATATTCAAATATATAGAAAGAATCCCCCATTTAGTAGTGGCCCCGGCATTTTTCTCTACAAAATGCCTTGCCTCAATCTACAAAATGGGTTGCCTAGAAATTTCTCTACAAAGTGTCTGGCCTTGGAAAATCCCTTTTTCGACCGACCTAATTTCTATCTTCATCCATGGGCCCCGGCATTTTTGTCTACAAAATGCCTTGCCAGCCAAAGTTGAAGTGGGCCCTGAACCTTTTCACAAGGTGGCCTCACTACAAAATGACCCATAAAAACCCATTTTGTAGTGGCCTTAAGGCCACCCATTTTGTATGGGAAATTCGATGGGGGATGTGTTTTGTACATATTGACTTGCAAATGTGCTTCGCGCCACAACGGCGTGCACTTTTTCGACATCTCAACCTCCAAAAACACAGTGAATCGCGACTTTCCTACCTTTTCGCGCATCTGCATCTTCTTTCTTCTGATCTTTTCTCTTCCGACTCTTCTCACCTCTGCTTTTCAACTGTCCATATTGTCGGAAGTTTGACTTCTAAACTTCCTTCGATTATATATATATATATATTATATCATTATATGTATATTTATATTATGTTATATAATTATATACATATACTCATATACTGTCATTATATCCATGTCCACCTCGTGTAATTTGCATCACTGACGGGTACAATGTGGTTGGCTTCGGGTAGTGGCACCGTGTGAATTCTACAGCCTGCAAGCTGCCCACCCTAGAAACAACTGGCACAAATGACTCAAATGACACACTGGCAAAATCACTGTGGAAGCTCACCGTTATTTGAAACACGTTTTACATGGTTGTTGGTAACCTAGCCGCTGATGCCACTGCTTGTTTTCAGTGCCAATTTGTACAATTCATACATGAAACATCAAAACTGCCATCACTGTCACAAACTATTTCACTTTTCCGTTGCCCCTTTCTCAAACAAGTGTCTGCACCAAGCTCCAGAGGTCGCAGCTACCACTGGGAAAACTGGAAGCAGCAAATTTGACAGTGAGCAATGCGATCCCTACTTTGTAGACACATGTAGTCAACCTGAGCCTTGTTGAACTGCCAAAAAACTTGGCTTGCCTTCTCATTTTATCATGTCCGTGTCATTCTTTCTCATGTCCTCTTTTGACCATTTTTGCACATGCCCTTGAGCCTGACTGCTGGCTACCACACAAAGGATTTTAATGATCCAAGGCTTGAAGGAAAAGAATTCAGGTCATGCTTGATGTGAAATGGTATTGGCATTGGTATCACAAATCATGGCTGGCATTGAAAACAAGTGAAAGATAAGTGATCTGATCATTGCACGATTGCCACTGCCTTTGCCACTGCCACCACACCAGTATGATAAGGACCATGATGAGCGCACCAAAACTGGAACGGAGACACCTTCCCCGCTACCAATCCTTTCACCCAGCTCCCATACTAGCATTTTGGCAAGAAACGGAGAGCATAGAGGTTGATGCTCGCCCTTCCTGAATCCCGCGAGCTCCAAGTACCTGAGTCATCCAAGTGTCTGCGCCTGAACTTTCACACCCGTGTTCCATGAAAACATGCATAAATATGAATGACCCCCAGAAAGAAGGTACCTCACGGAATGCAAGTACTCATGTGGCTTGTCATGGCTTGTGGCTGCAAGGCTGCAACCGAGACACTTTGGACACCAAACACTGGGCATGATGGTCGGCTTCTTGGAGGTCTTCTGTCCTTAGGACTGATGTGCATGAACCGATATTACCATGAAGTCAAACGAAGTCAGTACATCCACATGGAAATAGCATCAGCCAGTCAGTGAGAAACAGCCCGCCCCTAAGTTTGAAATCTTTGATTTCACACAACTTGCCCTGTACACCTTTCTGGAAGACTCTGACCGGGTGTCTGCTTCTTGTCTGTTTCCATGTCTGGTTTGGTCAAGACTCGCTTTGGATGGGGCCACACTGTAAAGTCCAGCTCAGCAGGATCCGTAGCTTCACTCATGATGGGCAAGTGAGCGAAGTTGAAAAGGCTTAGCTTAATGCTTAATGAGCGATGTCTCATGTCTTCAAATAGCAGTTGTAGTGTTTTCTGCAGGCATCTTTAGATGAAGCCTAGCTCTTGCATGTGAACCATGGTGATCGAAGACATGACACCACTGAACTTGAGCCATGTACTGTGTAGTACATCCTCAAAGCTGGTGGTGGTGAAAGATGATGATAGGTGAATGGCTGTTATTCTACATATATCATGCCGTCATATAAGCCAAATATACAAATATATACAAATATTTCCGTGACTTTTTCCTCAGTTCCTTCCTCAGTTCCTTCCTTAGTTCTTAGAATGGTTCTGCCTGCACGTCAAAATCAACAGAAAAGCAATTTATAGAGGCTAAGACTGTTCTAATACACTACACTAAATTCCACTAGACTCCACTACACCACACTACATTACACTACACTACACTACACTACACTAAATTCCACTAGACTCCACTACACCACACTACATTACACTACACTCAATGACACTGCACCACATGATAGACAGGTAGACAGATAGATAGATAGATAGATAGACAGATAGGCAGGTAGACAGCTAGACAGATGACGGAGAGGGAGAGAGAGAGAGAGAGATAGATAGATAAATAGATAGGAAGGTAGGTAGGTAGGTAGGTAGATAGTCAGAGCAAGAGAGAGAAAGAGAGGAGACATCAATCATCTTTCGATCCAGCAGTGGCTTCGCTCTGCCATTCCGGATTCACAACAACCAACCTTTCCTATAGGTTTCCTATTTTTGAAACTTCCGCCACCGCCTTGTGCGGTACTACTGGTATTGGGTAAATCCACTATAAATCGCCATTTTTAATAGCTATGTTTGTTTACCAGAGGGTATGTTCAAACAAACCCACAGATCTCTGGTCGTCATAGATACTGTAAGAATCGTGTAGTCTCTTGCCTTTCAATGGGATAAACGTTTGTTTTTGTAGTGAATGGAGAGCCTTGACAAAGGCTTCAATTTCTCAAAGTCACATCTGGTAATCGTCCAATGTCAATAAACACTGGCCAAGATGGCTAGCTCCAACCGTGGATTCAAACGTCTACCGTATCAGCAAAGCCGTATCGATTTTCGCACAACCAATCGAGTCATCGAGTGCGCTCGAAAACCCATCCTGTCTCGGGGATTCAGGGATCCTGATGGAAGCGTTTCATGAGCTGAATATCTCATGTGCAACATATACAGTACCCAGATTAGCTCACCATGGTGCTGGTATATAGAAACCTACAAAGCTGGGTGATTTTGGGCTCTTGGGCAAGGGCAAATGTTGGTGTGCATATTCCAGCACCATGCTGAGCTAATCTGGGATAAACAGTATATTTCCCAAATCAAACACAAAACACTTCTGGGAATGTAAGCCGCTAGAATTCAAGAATGAACGGGAACTTGTCGCTGCTCCAATGGGTACCCTTGTCGTCCGGCGCCGTTCGGCGAACTCACAGACTTTCCAAGATGAGATCCTGAGAGCGACAAGCAACACACATTGGGCATGGATAAAAATGTGTACTCGCGGGCGATTCCCCTTGCCTGGATGTAATATGGTGTATGACAGTCATTCATGGCTATTTATTGGGTTCTATTTTTTTTTCCGCGTAGATATACAGTCTCGAGGGATATGTTGGACCCCCCCAATAGGGGATCTCCAAACCTACGGCTTACTTTTCCTAATGAGGATGATTCCGTCTTGACCCATCCCAAAATGTGCAATGCCTTAACCCCTTTTCAAATGCAAAAAAAAGGGTGGGGTGGGGGGCGACAAATGAAAAATTCAAGGGATTCCAAAACATAATATGGAGGTTTCCCACATTTTGGGAAGCGAAATCATCCCATGTCATTTTCAATGGGAACCCAATGGTGAGAAGGGATCCCCCAATTAAAAAACACCATGCGTTGTCCGGTGAAAATTGCAATGGGCTTACCACCTGCTAGCTCATAGTCCTAAGCAAGACGTCTCCCCCTTGGCAATGTGAGGCCCCAAAGATAGCTAAGTTGATTTATAACTCCAATAACTATGGTTGATGGTACTTATAACTATAGTTACTGGGGCGAATCTAAACCAACAAACATCACTGGGGGGCCTCACATTGGGGAGATCCAAGGCAAACACAAAGGTGAGTCATGTCCAACCGCTTTGAACCCATTCTGAATCCTTGCCAGACAGACTTAGTGGTGCTAAACGTAGGGTTGCTGGGGGTTGCTGGGGGTTGCCGGGATGATTATAGTGATGACATGGATCATTCCCGAAAATTCCTTACTTACGCACCAGTAAGTAGATTCATGTAGTAAATCAACATGTTCATAGCAACTCTTCAACCTTTTGTCACCATTGGTGAGCAAAAATCACGTGGTTTCCCAATGTTTGGTGACCAAAAAACAATCATCTTATACCGATTGGTTCTACCATCATATCACCATTAACATGAAGTATGCTAAATCAACATGTTGGCTGCTGAAATCTTCATTTTCCATTAATTTCCATATATAACCAGTGAACTCCTCATTTTTGTTCCTTAAAATCACAATTCATCGTTGTTTTGGTCTAGTGAAATCAGCATCATATATTAATATATCGCCAATGAAATTCCCATTAAATGCACATCAAAGCACCATACATTCCAATAACTTGGAAGAACATCCTCTTAAAGGCCGCATGGAATTACCATCAACCACAATAAATCCTACTCAATCACCAAAAAATCCTATGAAATTCCGGGTAAACCACAATGAAATCACCATAAATCCCATGAAAACCCCGCATTTTTGGCCCATTTTCCACAGCAGATCCAGCCCTCCCCGTGGTCACCGTGGCGCCAGCGCCCGGCGCAGGCCGCCCGCGTAGCGCACCTCGTCGGAGAGGCTCCGCGCCTTGGCGCGGAAGGTCTCCTGCGCCGAGGGTCCGAAACGGATTGTGACAAATGATGGTGAATAATGAAGGTATGCCGATGATGATGATGATGATGATGATGGTGATGATGACGACGATGATGATGATGATGGTGAAGATGATGATGATGATGATGATGATGATGATGATGATGATGATGATGATGATGGTGAAGAAGATGATGATGATGATGATGATGATGATGATGATGGTGAAGAAGAAGGTGATGATGATGATGGTTTACGGATTATGATGACGATGGTGGTGAAGATGATGATGATGATGCTGATGATGATGATGATGGTGAAGATGATGATGATGATGATGGTGAAGATGATGATGATGATGGTGATGATGATGACGACGATGATGATGATGATGGTGAAGATGATGATGATGATGATGATGATGATGATGGTGAAGTTGATGTTGATGACGACGACGATGATGATGATGATGAAGATGATGATGGTGAAGATGATGATGATGATGGTGATGATGATGATGGTTTACTGATTATGATGACGATGGTGGTGAAGATGATGATGATGATGGTTTACTGATTATGATGACGATGGTGGTGAAGATGATGGTGAAGATGATGATGATGATGATGGCTTACGGATTATGATGACGATGGTGGTGAAGATGATGATGATGATGATGATGGTTTACGGATTATGATGACGATGGTGGTGAAGATGATGATGATGATGATGGTGAAGATGATGATGATGATGATGATGGTGAAGAAGATGATGATGATGGTGGTGAAGATGATGATGATGATGGTTTACTGATTATGATGACGATGGTGGTGAAGAAGAAGATGATGATGATGATGATGGTGAAGATGATGATGATGATGATGGTTTACGGATTATGAAGACGATGATGGGGAAGATGAAGATGATGATGATGATGATGGTTTACTGATTATCATGACGATGGTGGTGAAGAAGAAGATGATGATGATGATGATGGTTTACTGATTATGATGACGATGGTGGTGAAGAAGATGATGATGATGATGATGATGATGGTGAAGATGATGATGATGATGGTTTACGGATTATGAAGACGATGATGGTGAAGATGATGATGATCATGATGGTGAAGATGATGATGATGATGATGATGGTGAAGATGATGATGATGATGGTGATGATGATGGTTTACGGATTATGATGACGATGGTGGTGAAGATGATGATGATGATGATGATGGTTTACTGATTATGATGATGATGATGATGACGGTGAAGATGATGATGATGATGATGATGATGGTTTACTGATTATGATGACGATGGTGGTGAAGATGATGATGATGATGATGATGGTTTACTGATTATGATGACGATGGTGGTGAAGATGAAGATGATGATGAAGATGATGATGATGATGATGGTTTACTGATTATGATGACGATGGTGGTGAAGATGATGATGATGATGGTGAAGATGATGATGATGATGGTTTACGGATTATGAAGACGATGATGGTGAAGATGATGATGATGATGATGATGGTGAAGAAGAAGATGATGATGATTGTTTACTGATTATGATGACGATGGTGGTGAAGATGATGATGATGATGGTTTACTGATTATGATGCCGATGGTGGTGAAGAAGATGATGATGATGATGATGATGACAATGATGGTTTACTGATTATGATGACGATGATGGTAATGATGATGATGGTGAAGATGATGATAATGACGGTGAAGATGATGATGATGATGGTTTACTGATGATGATGATGGTGGAGAAGAGGATGATGATGATGATGGTGAAGATGATGATGATGTTGATGATGGTTCACTGATGATGATGATGATGATGATGGTGAAGATGCTTATGATGATGATGACGGTGAAGATGATGATGATGATGATGATGGTGAAGATGATGATGATGGTGGTGGTGATGATGATGACGGTTTACTGATTTTGATGATGATGATGATTGTGAAGACGATGATGATGATGATGATGGTGATGATGATGATGAAGGTATGCTGATGATGATGGTTTAATGATGATGATGATGATGGTGCAGATGATGATGGTGGTGATAATGATGATGATGGTTTACTGATTTTGATGACGATGATGGTGAAGATGATGATGATGATGATGACGACGATGGTTTACTGATTATGATGATGATGATGATGGTGAAGAAGAGTAAGATGATGATGATGGTGAATATGATGATGATGATGATGGCTTACTAATGATGATGATGATGGTGAAGATGATGATGATGATGGTGAAGATGATGATGGTGATGATGATGATGGTTTACTGATGATGATGATGATGATGGTTTACTGATTATGATGATGATGAAGGTGAAAATGATGATGATGGTGATGATGGTGAAGATGATGATGATGATGATGATGATGAAGGTATGCTGATGATGATGGTTTACTGATGCTGATGATGACGGTGATGATGGTGATGATGATGGTGATAACAATAGTGAATTATGATGGTTTATTGATGATCATGGTGAGGATGATGATGATGATGAATAAAGATTGGGTTACTGATGGTAACTATAATGGTGATGGTGATGATGATGATGGTTTACTGATGATGATGATGGTGATCATGATGATGGTGATGATGATGATGGTGAAGATGATGATGATGATGCTGATGATGACGGTTTACTGATGATGATGATGATGATGATGTTGGCTATGATGATGATGGTGATGGTTTGCTGATGATGATGATGATGATGCTGATGATGATGATGATGATGGCTTACTGATGATGATGATGGTTTACTGATGATGATGATGATGATGATGATGATGACGGTGGTGGAGACGATAATGATGATGATGATGATGACGATGATGATGATGATGATGTTGGTTTCCTGATGATGATGATGATGATGATGATGATGATGATGATGTTGGTTTACTGATGATGATGATGATGATGATGATGGTGATTTACTGATGCTGATGATGGTTTACTGATGGTGATGATGGTTTACTGATGATGGTGATGATGATGATGATGATGATGCTGGTTGACTGATGATGATGATGGTTTACTGATGACAGTGATGATGATGTTTTACTGATGATGATGATGATGATGACGATGTTGATGGGTTACTGAAGATGAACATGATGATGGTTTACTGCTGACGATGATGATGATGGTTTACTGATAATGATGATGTTTTACTGATGATGATGATGAAAATGACGGCGAACAAAGATGGTTTATTGATGATGACTCTGATTATGATGATGATGATGATGTTGATGGTGAAAAATGATGGTTTAATGATGACGACTATGATGATGATGGTGATGATAATGATGATGAGGATCTTGATGGTGAACAATGGTGGTTTACTGATGATGATGATGATGATGGTTTACTGATGATGATGATGATGATGATGATTTACTGATGATGATGAAGAAGATGATGATGATGCTTATGACAATGGTTTGCTGATGGTGATGGTGATGATAATGATGGTGGATAATGATGGTCTACTGATGATGACTATGATGAAAATAATGATGATGATGATGATGGTGAAACATGATGGTGTAATGATGATGACAATGATGATGATGATGATATTGATGATGATGATGATGATAATGATGGTAATGATGATGGTGATGGTGGTGATGATGATGGTGGTGAACAATGATGGATTACTGATGATGGCTATGATGATGATAATGATGGTGATGTTGATGGTGATGGTGAACAATGATGGTTTACTGATGATGACTGTGAAAATGAAGATGATGATGATGATGAAAATGATAATGATGGTGACTAATGTTGGTTTACTGATGATGATGATGATGGTGAATAATGATGGTGGATAATGATGGTTTACTGGGGATGGTTTACTGATGACGATAATGATGATGTTGATGATGATGTGATATGATGATGATGATGACGATGACGATGATGGTGGACAATGGTGGTTTACCGGTGGTGACTATGATGATGATAATGATGGTGAATAATGATGGTTTTCTGATGATGACTTTGATGACGATGATGATGATGAAAATGATGGCGAACAATGATGGTTTACTGATGATGACTCTGATCATAATTATGATGATGGTGATGTTGATGGTGAACGATGGTGGTTTACTGATGATGACAATGATGATGGTGATGAAGGTGAAAAATGATGGTTTACTGATGACGACTATGATGATGATGATGTTGATGGTGAATAATGATGGTTTACTGCTGGTGACTTTGGTGATGGTAATGATGATGATGATGGTTTACTGATGATGATGATGATGGTGATGATGATGATGATGATGACTTTGATGACAATGGTGAACAATGATGTGTTACTGATGATGACTATGATGATGGTGATGATGATGATGGTGCTGATGGTGATGATGGCAATGATGATGACGGTGAACAATGGTGGTTTACTGATGATAATGATGATGATGATGATGATGATGGTGAAGATGATGATGATGATGATGATGATGGTTTACTGATTATGATGACGATGGTGGTGAAGATGAGGATGATGATGATGATGATGATGATGATGGTGATGGTGAATAATGATGGGTTACTGATGATGACTATGATGGTGGTGGTGATGGTGGTGGTGATGGTGGTGATGATGATGATGAAACGGTTAATGATCTCACTGCCGTTGCAACCTCGACAAGGGAAACTCCAAGTGCAACCGCGTCACGCTGGACGTGCCCTTCATCACTTGGAGAGCGCTACAGACCGACGCATGATATGCTTCAAGGGCTTCAGGAACCTCTCCTGGAACCGGAGCTGCCATGCCATGAAGGATTTCGGCTCGATTTCGTGGGGAGAACTTTGAGAGGAACAAGTGGAGATTCTCGGAAGATTTCATGGGGGTTTCATGAGGATTTAACAATTGAAAAATGGGATAATACAGGGATATAATGGAATAGCATGTTTTTTTGGGTATGATGTGGAGATGCTTTCTGAGAGAGCATCCCCTCTTGGATAAGATTTCATACATTTCATGGGCATGTCAGCCCAACAAAATGGTTGAACAATTGAGCAATGTTCAAAATCTCTGTCATTCCATTTAATCCTGGTTGGTTAATAGGGATTCCTTTATTGGATTATTATAATCCCCAAGATATTGGGTAGTATAATCCCCGAACTAATTATCAATCAACAGGGGTTTTGAACACTGCTCAATTACCCTCTGGTAAACTAACAGTTTGCTATGAACAATTACCATCTTTAATAGGTAAATCAACCAACTAAATGCGCCATGTTCAATAGCAAACTGTTGGTATTTCCAGAGGGTATTTTTTCCAGGTGGTTCTCATTCATGTACCATCTGGTTATGGCTAACATAGCGAACTGGAAAATCCATGGAATAAATGGAGGTTTCGATCGCTGGGAGTTTATCATCTGTTTCTATGGGCCATGGCTTCCATAGCTATGTTTCAGCATGGCGATCGGTCACCTCTCCAGGTTGATTTCCCTACAGCAGATTCCGATCACTGGTCAATGGCAAGGAGAAATGCCCGAACTAAATGGAGGTGTTCATCCGACTATCATCTACAGATGGGGATTTGTCCATTGCTATGTTTGATTACTGAAAGCTAATAGATGTGACTCGAACAGAATCAACTTACTCCTCCATAAGTGGCAATATGTTTGAGCCATTAACTCCCCATGCACCCAGATTTGCCCTCTAATTATCCATCCTGGCAAGGAATTTCCCTCATTCTTGTTCCTATTAAGCAGTGTGATTGTCCTGACCGTGTTTGATTGCCGGGGGAACAAGGGATTTTCTCTGCCACATGTCACGAAGAGCTTCGTGGATTTGATTTTTCCACAAGAACCGACTCAGTCAATCATGACGATTTGCATGTCACATCGCCAGCTTTCTGGTTGCCTGAATTCCCATTACCTTCTGGAAAATCACCATGCTATTAATGGGAAAATCTGCTATAAATGGCCATTTTCAATAGCAAACTGTTTGTTTACCAGAGGGAAACATTGTGCAAATGAATTATTTTTCACACTCTGGTTATAAAGCTTTGCGACCAAGAAAATCGCAATCCCAATTTATATGTTTGATGTTCAACGGCCATGATTCTAATATCAATGATTCCTATAACCCCTATATATATAAACATATACATATACATATATATATAGCTATACCTATATATATATATATAGTTATATGTATATATACATTCACCTAATCATATATATATATGTGTTACAGGCTAATTTTATCCATGCTCTCAACGGCCCCCAAGGCTCGGCTTCCCATTCGTCCTGTCTTGGGCCGATCCACCTTGACGCCCGGCTGCAAGGCGTCTGCACGCGCTGCGTTGCTCAGCTGGTCACCGAAGCCGGGACAGACCAGCAACGGACACCCTACGGAGAGAGATTCCTCAGCCATTCCATTGGAACCATGCAAAACTGGGGTGTTTTATATGAATGGGGGATGGGATTATTTCCTGATCATCACGGAGATATGGGGTCATTTATAACTGTTATATACTATTATACAATGTGAGGCCCCCGTTGGATAGCTAAGTTGGTGCACATAACTCCAATTTCACTATGGTTTATGGTACGCAAATAACGAACTAGTTACTGGGGCTTAAAAACCAACTTGTAACTGGGGGGCCTCACATTGTAATGATGCGCTAATAATGAATGGAATAGTTACTGTAGTTTTCATGTTAGTGATATTGGTTAGTATTGGTTTTAGTTGATATTATTTAATATTAGTATCGGTAATAATATTAGAATGGAAATAGCTAAAACGAATGGGGCCACCCTACTATTAACATTACCCTATGTTAGTGCCATTCCCTATGTCAGTTAATCATAAGCTAGTATTAGTTAGTATTAGTTAGTACCAGTAGTACCGCACAAGGCGGTGGCGGAAGTTTCAGAATAGGAAACCTATAGGAGACGTTGGTTGTTGTGAATCACGGATGGCAGAGCGAATCCACTGATTGACCGAAAAGTGGTTGGAGTTGTGTTTGCTTGAGTGGCTGCAATGGTTGCAGTGGTCACCTCACCCACAACTGCTGGATGTAGTGTGATGTACTGCAACTGTAGTTGTAGTTGTAGCGTAGTGGAGTTGTAGTTGTGGTGTAATGTAATTAGTGTAGTGTAGTTGCAGTCATATAGTTGTAGCTGTAGTTGTTTTGTAGTTGTAGCTGTAGTTGTTGTAGTTGTAGTTGTTGTAGTTGTTGTAGTTGTTGTTGTTGTTGTAGTTGTAGCTGTAGTTGTTGTGTGGTTGTAGTTGTTGTGTAGTGTACTTGTAGTAGTAGTAGTAGTAGTAGTAGTAGTAGTAGTAGTAGTAGTAGTAGTAGTAGTAGTAGTAGTAGTAGTAGTAGTAGTAGTAGTAGTAGTAGTAGTAATTGTTGTTGTAGTTGTTGTAGTTGTAGTTGTAGTTGTAGTTGTTGTTGCTGTTGTTGTTGCTGTTGTTGTTGTAGTTGTTGTAGTTGTAGTTCTAGTTGTAGTTGTAGTTGTTGTGTAGTTGTTGTAGTTGTTGTAGTTGTAGTTGTTGTGGTTGGTGTTGTTGTTGTTGTTGTTGCTGTTGTCGTCGAAGTTAGGGTAGGTAAGTTAGTGAAGTTAGTTAAGTTAGTCAAGTTAGTTAAGTTAATCAGTGTCTACTTTTTCGACATCTTCACTTCGAAAAAGGCTCAAAACCCTCAGTTTTTTTACACTTTTGACTTCGAAATGTGCTTCGCGCCACAACGGCGTGCACTTTTTCGGCACTTGTTCGACATCTGAACCTCCAAAAGTGGTCCGAGAATGGTGGTGTTTTGTACATTTTGACTTGGAAATGTGCTTCGCGCCACAACGGCGTGCACTTTTTCAACATCTGGACTTCCAAAAGTGGTCCGAAGCTGAGGTGTTTTGTACATTTTGACTTGGAAATGTGCTTCGCGCCACAACGGCGTGCGCTTTTTCGACATCTCAACTTCCAAAAGTGGTCCGAAGCTGAGGTGTTTTGTACATTTTGACTTGGAAATGTGCTTCGCGCCACAACGGCGTGCACTTTTTCGACATCGCAACTTCCAAAAGTGGTCCGAAGCTGAGGTGTTTTGTACATTTTGACTTGGAAATGTGCTTCGCGCCACAACGGCGTGCAATTTTTCATCTCTCATCTGGCCAGCTGGCTCCGCACCCGCTGCTTTAGCGAGCCTACTTTTCGACCCACCGGAGCCACAAATCATTGGAAAAATACAATGTTTCGCGACTATCCTACCTTTTCGCGCATCTGCATCTTCTTTCTTCTGATCTTGTCTCTTCTGACTCTTCTCACCTCTGCTTTTCAACTGTCCATATTGTCGGAAGTTTCACTTCTAAACTTCCTTCGATTAGTTCGTATTAGTTAGTATTAGTTAATATGAATGGAATATGAATGGACTATGAATGGAATATGAATGGAATATTGAATATTGGTTATATAAGTATATACAATATAGGGATTATATAGGGATATAATGGAATACGTAATGTTGCAAGGTGAGGGCCTCCCAAACGTAATGTGAAAGTTGGTGTATAGACCCATGAATACTATGATATCCCCATAAATCCTAGCTGCCCTAGCTGCTCAAGTCATGTGCGTCAACTTAGCTATCGTTTGGGGACACCTTCTGGGGAAATCTACTGGGGAATTGGAGATATTTTTGGGGGGTTACCCTCTGGTAAACATACAGAAAACTATGGAAAATCACCATGCTAATGGGAAAATCCACTATTTCTATGGCCATGGCTTCAATAGCAAACTGTGAATGTTTACCAGAGGCTATACCATCATATATCCCATTAAATCCCATTAAATCCCATTAAATCCCATTACTGTAAATCCCATTAAATCCCATTAAACCTGATCCCAAATCAAACGCAATCCACCCCAAATCAAATGCAAAACCTTAGGAGGGTAAATCACCATGCTAATGGGAAAATCCACTATTTCTTAGCCATTTTCAATAGCAAACCGTTTGTTTACCAGAGGGTAAACGTGTTTTT